GAGCAATCTGAGGTGTTGAAGTCTCCAGTAATAACGGATAGAGAGTTGTCGAAGTTGGCAGCAGCAAACATGGTGAATTCATCAGCAAAATTAGATAGATCAGATGGAGAGCAGCTAGGAGAAATGTACATGTTTGTAATATAGATTTGTTTATATTTGGGGAGATGTTTGGGGCGACATTTGACAGTAATACAGTCAATGAAGTCATTTGAGAAGGTGAAGCAGACGTTATTTGAGACAGACCATTTGGAGTGAATAAAAGTTGCAACGCCACCACCATTTTTCTTATTACAACATTGACGGTCTTGACGAAATAAAATAAAGTCCTTTAGTGAGATAAGGTTGTCATCATACAGTTCATGCAACCACGTTTCTTGTAATGTGATTATGGCGGTGTTATGATACGTATCAGTTGACATCAAGGATTGTAGGTACATTATCTTGTTTGGCAGAGAGCGACAGTTTGTGTTCATTATGACGGGGACCGTAGTTAAGTGTATTGGTGTACGTTTGAGAGCTCTCTGCCAACCACTACGATGTTTCCTCCTTGGTTTCTTTGGAATATGAAAGTCATTTGGTCGTAAATGATTAATAAAGTTACGAGAGTAAATGATTCTGTTAGAATTCATATTTAGGTGATAAATAAATGTTGGCAAATAGAGGACTGGATGCAAAATGTAGATATTTTAGTAGCAGGCCCGAAAATTCGAACAGGCCACCAAGGTCAAGGTCAGAGTGAAGGTATAAAATCTTTAGGGATTTGTGAGGAGGAACCCAAATCATCTACTGCTGTTATTAGAGAGTTTGAAAATGATGAAGTCGACCAGATAGATGATGGTAAATTGAATATTTGTGATAATGATCATGATAGTGCAGATTTGTCTTTGGTTGATCATGATGAAATGAGGGGAATGCCTACTACTGCTAAGTTAAATAAAGGTTCTGTACAACTACAACGTGAAGTAGAATCAAATGCAGTTGCAGAAGGTATGGATACTTGTGAAACCGTCAGTGTAATTGATCAGCGTGTAGCCCACCTATCATCAGATGATCGTGCTAAACCCGAACTAGTAGTGAAAGACAGCAGTGGTGGTAATCTTGCAGTTAGACAACTATCTGAAAGCCGAAAAAGAACAGCTTCTGATCCACCACTAAGTTCATCAACTGGTATCAATCAGTCGTCGTTGGTGCTGTCATCCACAATGAAACAGACACCCATCAACTCAAGTATCTTGTGCAATGACTATGATAGTATTGGTGCATTTGAAAGGACGAAACACATTGCTCAGTTTAGAGAGGATAAGCCAAGTGTAAACGAGAGAGTAATTGTTAAATTGACTTGCATGAATAAAGGCATTTCTTGTTTCAAGTTACTAATTGAATGTTATTATCTTTGGCGTAAGTTACCCTGTGCCCACACTTGGTTGATGAGATATGTCATGTGTTTTTTGGTCATCTATATTCTACGACACAATGACATGAGCGTGTTACCGTTCAGATTTGAGAATATAGACGATAGAGGGAAGTCAGCAAATGAACTCTGCGACGATTTTTCAACCTAGGGCGTCAACCTGAGAAGGGCTGTAGGCGTACTGGTGTAAGTCCTACAGTTCTTCAAGGGTAGTTCGTCATGCCAGAATCCATCACATCTGATGTGTTGATTGTACATATGTTCGTGTTAAATAGTTGTGTGAGCTCTAATTATTGTAATTGTTGGTTAATCTTCATTGTGTCCGGACATTCTACAACTTACAATCGTCAACGTGTGAAGGGTTGCAGGCGTACTGGTGTAAGTCCTGCGATTCTTAAAAGGAATTCCACCAGTAAATGATCCGCGAGGTTATTTATACTGTTTGTATATATGTGTGGTGTGTCCTATCAATTGGTGTTTTTTGGATTTTGTGTTTACTTGTTGTTTTCGTACCTCGTTGTTTTTATTGCATAATTTTGTTAAAATTTTCGTCGTGCTTACTTCTGAAGTTGTTTCTTGTCTTCTACATCCGTGAATGAATTGATTGATGTTAGAGACAGCAGATGGGTCGTATACGCCGGGGAGGCTAGGCTATTGCTGAGAATGAAACGCACACGGAGATAATTGTTAGCTGCGGTCCGACACGCCAGGGAGAATGAGTGTAAACGACTGAGGCTCGCATGCGTCACCGCTACTAGAACTGAGGCAGAATGAGTGACAAGCGATTGCAGTGGTAATTGGTAGTGAGAAGATAAGAGTATGTGCGTAGAGTATCATGAGTTGGTGCTATGGTCACGTTGCATTCTGCAAGAGTCATTCTAGCAAGTGGCGATTGTGTTGCAAGATGTCAAGAGGAGGTCTCTGTCTGGACGCGCAGGTCGTCAGCGATGTGTGAGATTGTGATGTGAGTATGCTTGTGGTGTGTTGGCTTTTCTGTTTGTTTTCCATTTCAGCTCTGTCCATGTGACCCAGGTTCTCGCAATGGCATCCAAGTCAACGTGTGTTGGTAGTGATGGAAAAAAGGGATGGAACGATCAATTGATGGTTGTTTGCTCAAAACCAACTTCCCCAATTTTCTCACAGGCATCAATACACCAGTCATCGTCTCATCGGTCGATGTTCAGAAAGAAGTCAGGCCAAAACTGTCAGAAGTAATATTGTGATTTATTATTGTAATATTTGTTCATAGACCTTAGTTAAAGCTTAATTTTAAAGTTGGCTATATGTCGGTGTTACAATAAAGAATTCTCGAGTAGCCAATCGGTGTTTTGGTTTTGCTTCCGTTATTACTAAGCGTTTCTGAGAAACTTCAAGGAACAGCGTGAGTCCCAGTGCAGCAAGAGCTGGGCATTGACGGTTTACGAGACGTGGCTGACATCCGTATTTTGGCTGATTCCATATTAGCTGTGAATTTTTATGCCAGTTGATTTTGTTGAGAATTACTTATCTAAGATCCTTCTGAGTTAACACACTTCCTATTGATACCTTATCTATTGGTCTGAGGCCGTTGGTTCCCTCACTTTGCTGGGATGTGTGGACAGTCGGAGAGGTCTACCCTTTTTTTTTATTTTTTTTATTTTTTATTACAGCTTGATTCCACACCGTATTTTTGGTACAAGTGTGGAATTTTCATCGTGGATATCGGTAGCCCAAATTTCGCAGGCCGACCATAGATATCAAGTGTGCGTCGGCGTGGGCTCGAACCCCGGACCATGTGCATGGTCGGCGAGAGTCCTAACCACTGTGCCACCGACGCACCCTGTTTGGAGTGATCCAATTGCTCTGGGAGGTGGCATATCCCAGTGACTCAAGGACATTATAGCTTTTGTGATTGTGGTTTGCTCTTAGTGAGGGAGTATAGTGCGCCAATCTCTTGAGCCCAGTTCACCCTGTGGCTGTTATTGTGCCTGGCTACTATCCTCTTGCAACATTGGTGAGGCTAAGTTTATCTGCTTAGCGACGACGCCTGCTGTGGGTATTCGGCCCCTACCACGCCTCTTCCTTTGGACAGTATTAGTTGAATTGAGCGTATGTTCTCCTAGTACGTATTTGTTACGGAATGCTGTGGTGTTATCGCGTGCGAAAGCAACAACGTCGGGGTTGGAGCAATGGATGATATAGCACATTAATACCGAATTTTCCATCAAAAGAATCACCAAGATCACTGACCGATAGCTCCTAATATTGTGCAAGATTAATTGCATTCCTACAACCCCGTCTTCAAAAAGTACGGCAAGGGGCAAGTAAAGCAGGAAACCTAGTCAGACTCACGAAAGGGCGTTCGCCATTCACTACGTAAAGAAGGCCTCACATATCATAAGGAAGGAACAATGCCTACTTGGTTGCTGGTTTCATCCTATGGATTCCATAATCACATAATAGAGTGGTATTTGCTTTATAGATACAGATTCATAGGAAGCTACCAAAAATCGAAACCAATAATTTAAGACAGTGGCTTCAGGGCTAGAACTATTTATTTCTGAAATCTGGATTCAGTTTACTTTGAGGTTCTGGAACAGCCTCACTTCGTTCCCTTGTTTAACACTCGCCTAACCACCATCCAGACAGAACAGTTTATTTTCCACCAGCCTGGCCGACTTTTAATGTGGTTAAAAACATGTAAACATGAAGCGTTTTTCCATGATAAAAGGTCCACCACCACTTGCATTATCTTCCATTACAGTACATCTGATTATCCGGAGCGTTTTTTGTTTTAGAGACCGCACAGCCCTTTAATAATAATAATATATATTCTCATCTTTTACATGAGGGACGCCAGTTTACAGGCATCATCAATTCGATGGGTCTTCACGCACAGAGAGCGACGCATCCAGCATACGTACGGTTCTATTAACGACGCTATTTGTGCGAGTGTCTGGGCACTGGTTAGCCATCTCCTGCAGAAGGGAACTTTTGCAGCCTGAAATATTCGATTCCTCTTATGCATAACAATGCCTTCCTTATTAAAATACTTTACAGAGCTGCAGCGATCGCTTGACAATTTGCGTGAGATGGGTTTGCAGCAGTGTTTGCGCGCAGCAGGGTTTTGGTTGGTGAATATGTTGTACTGCAAAGCTTCCACAACTGAAAAATGACGCACATTGGTGGTCTGCTCATCTAGGCGTAGGAATCCTCTGTAGGTAGCGGATGATTCTCTTCCTGCACTAAGATAGGCAGGGTGAGCCGAAACGTGAACTTGACCTCCTTTTATTTGTAGTATGTGTGCGTAAAATGTGATGGGAGCTAGAAAGTAACATGTAATAGATCTGTTCACTCCATAGTGAGTCCGAGGTCTCTCAGGACACTTCAGAAATGATGAATACGAATCAAAATATGAAAAGTGTCTGTCTTATAGGAATACTGAGCAAGGCAAAGAAGTGGGACTAAATGTTGAAAACCTCAGATTTGTGTTTAAGTATAGTTTATAAAGCATGCTTTTTTAGTTTCTAATACTCATATTTGTTTGTGCGCTGCAGAGAGAGTTGGCGCCCGCTCAGATAGTCCGCTACTTTCGACGTACGTCGCCATTATGAGCTTGTTGAGGTCTATCTGTAATGTAGCGAAGTTCATCAGGCCTACTTCTCATCTGTCATCGTTTTGTCCAGCCACACTTACAGCACAGAGTATGTCCCATTTTTCTGAATAATTCTATGTCTCTAAGGACGTGGATATGCAGCAGAAGCGAAGGCTGCTGCTGCCAGTCCTGCTGCTAAAGTAGGCTCAACTGGTCGTGTTGTGGCAGTTATTGGTGCCGTCGTAGACGTACAGTTCGATGAGAATCTACCTCCTATTCTCAATGCTTTGGAAGTGAAAGGCCGTACACCGAGGTTAATCCTTGAAATCGCTCAACACCTCGGTGAAAATACTGTGCGTACGATTGCTATGGATGGTACAGAGGGTCTTGTTCGTGGTCAGCAGTGTGTTGATACTGGTGGTCCTATCCGTATTCCCGTGGGACCTGAAACACTTGGTCGTATTATGAACGTCATTGGTGAGCCGATTGACGAAAGAGGGCCAATCAACACAAAGATGATGTCAGGTATACATCAAGAGGCCCCTGACTTCATCGAAATGAGTACTGAGCAAGAAATCTTGGAAACAGGAATTAAGGTAGTTGATCTTCTGGCTCCATATGTGAAAGGAGGAAAGATTGGTAAGCTTCATATGCAACGTGTAACTTGCCCTTAGGTCTTTTTGGAGGCGCAGGAGTAGGCAAAACTGTGTTAATTATGGAACTTATCAACAACATTGCTAGAGCTCATGGTGGTTACTCTGTGTTCGCAGGTGTAGGAGAGCGAACTAGAGAAGGTAATGATTTGTATCACGAAATGATAACAACGGGTGTCATTGACCTTAAGGGTAACAATTCCAAAGTAAGTTATTTCTCTAAGTTGTGACAAATATCCTAGGTGTCACTTGTGTATGGACAAATGAATGAACCTCCTGGGGCTCGTGCTCGTGTCGCTTTAACAGGTCTAACTGTTGCAGAGTATTTCCGTGACCAAGAGGGTCAAGATGTGTTGTTGTTTGTGGATAATATTTTCAGATTCACACAGGCTGGTTCTGAAGTGTCTGCATTGCTGGGTCGTATTCCTAGCGCTGTCGGTTACCAGCCAACTCTAGCTACTGACATGGGTAGTATGCAAGAACGGATTACGTCCACCAGAAAGGGATCAATTACTTCAGTGCAGGCCATTTATGTCCCTGCAGATGACTTAACTGATCCTGCACCTGCTACTACATTCGCTCATTTGGACGCAACAACTGTCTTAAGTCGCGCGATCGCTGAATTGGGTATTTATCCGGCTGTTGACCCACTGGATTCCAATAGTCGTATCTTGGATCCTAATATTGTTGGCGAAGAACACTATTCTGTTGCTCGTGGAGTGCAAAAGATTTTGCAGGTAAATTAGTTTACTAATTATATATTGTACAGGAAAATCGCTCACTGCAAGATATCATTGCTATCTTGGGTATGGATGAACTGTCTGAAGAAGATAGGCTAACAGTATCTCGTGCTCGAAAGATTCAAAGATTTTTGAGTCAACCGTTCCAAGTTGCTGAAGTCTTTATCGGACGTGAAGGAAAGTTGGTTTCCTTGAAGGATTCAATCAAAGGTTTCAAAATGATCATCAACGGTATGAATCTTGAAATGTAATCTTATCTCTCCTTCATAGGTGAATTGGATCACATACCAGAAGCTGCCTTCTTCATGGTCGGAGCAATTGAAGATGTATTGGAAAAAGCAGAACAACTGGCAAAAGAAAGTTCGTGATCTTGCCAAGCCCAAAGTTATTAGTTAGCTGTACATTTGATAAAAAACATAGAATATTTGACTTTAAGAAATAGGATTTTCGTTTTTACATTTCTGTGGAAGTTCTTAATTGTTGGATGATATTCCCCGATGACTTTAAGTGACTAAAAACATTGATCTGGTTTTTTTACCAGCTAACTTACTGATCAGTCTTGTTCTGCTAATAACGGGAGATTCTGCTATTCAAAATGAAAGCTTTTCTCCGTGCTAAGACTAGTCTCGGAAGACGATGGCTTCGATTGTTGTTGTTTTCAATATCTGTACGTGTTGTATATGCTTCTACTGCTTTCTTAAATTGGTTCCTGGCTTGACAATGGGACTGAATCCCAGTCAGGTGGTTGAAACAGATATGTGCATGAAACCCCATCAGTTGTTCAGGTTGCGAAGCGGTAGTTAAGCGGTGTGACTTTCGCGAACAAGTTGACTCAGTGTTTATTTAACGAAAAGGTTTATTATTACTGGTCTCCACATTTTGTAGTAACCAACTATGCGTATAATTCTGAAAAGGAATGAATTTTAATGGTGTTATGGATTTTGATTACAGTGTATTCGATTAAGGTGTGGAATGTAGTTAAGTAATTCTAATCAGTGATATTCTCATGTCTAAAAGAAGTGCGACATATTTCTTTCGCTATCGTAATTCCTTTTTTTTGCCAGAATCTTGTCACTATTTGGCAAAATAGTTCACAAAAAGAATTAGGTTGTGGCCGTTTTAATATGAACTTGAGAGAATGCAAATTCGTTTCCAACCGGTGTCTATCATGTCTTCATCTAGACAGTCCTGAGGCTTCAGACGAACACACGAACTTCGTGAATACCTTGTTTTCGACTATCTTAACCGTTAACTTTCACTTGTATTGGCAATCGAGAGACTATCAGGGCTGTATTCAGTTAACTTATTTGAAGACTAAAGGTTTTTCTTTTCACCTAATATCAAGATTTACTTTTTTTAAGTGCTTCTAAACCTTACGCCCAAAGTTTCTTGTTAGCTTTACTACTGTCCAGACTTGCCCTAGATTGGAGAAGACTGACTTTCTCTAGATTCCCTTTGATGGTGATTGGTGCTTGTTTCTCTTGGTTATTTGTCTCCTCCCTGGCCTTCTCTGTTCATTTGAAGTCGTGTCTCCGCTACTTCCTCGGTCAATTTGGCGGTGCTTACCTGTAGATCTTCGAGTATTTTTGCTGACGTAGAAGGTAAATCATCCGGGAGGTCCGGATATTCTAGTCTTTCTGTCAGTCCAGGTGCATTAACCATGTAGACTTTCTTATTTTAATGAAGGTAGAATAACTGAAGGTCAGAATTGTGGGCTTTTTCTAGTGAGTAGATGATCGCTAGCGCTATAAACCCACGCTCTGAGTACTTTCTTCAAAACCTAACAAATACGCTTTAAATCATGCAGGATATTACTCTTCATATCGTATATCATCTTTATATGTTATTCAGAGGTGGGGGGGGGTGTTCATAGGGCATAATTCTTTCATTCAAAAGAAATAAGGCTTCCGCACTATTTGAAGCAGTAATCCGGCGCAAGTGTACAGCTGAACAGCTAGTGTAGTGATTAGGATACAGTAACGTTTGGTTCGTTGTCTTGGCAACTGAACATTACCTTCGGTGGTTGCGGTGAAGTCTTTACCTGGTAAGTAGTTGGTTTTTCGTAGCTCAGCTGGTGTATTGTTGGAGTTCGAGTCATATCGTGGTTGGTGTTTTCAATCCACCTTCAGTCATTTATCGCCCATTACTTTAAAGGAAGTTATTTTTATTGACTTCTGATTGTAGGTGTTTCTAAAATATTGTAACATTCATCTGTTGGCTGATTTCTTTCCTTATGGTTGCACGTTTCAAGGAAGTCAGTGAAGAGGGCATTTGTCAGAGGTCAGCGATGATGAGTCACTTTGATCAAGTAAAACGAAGATAAAGTGAGAAGGCACGCAATGCTTGTATAATTCATGATGAAAGTAGTTAGTGTTGTAATGCATTTATCAGCATGTGATCACACTGAAGTGGGATTAGGTAAAGTAATATAGGTACGCGGAGGGAGAGGCTGGTCACCGAATCTTTGTTTATCAAATCTAAGCGTATTAACGTGCAGATAGACAGGGTAATGTTGGAGGCGATTTTCACAATACGTGGAGTTTTTCTAGGGCGTTTGTGTTATTATTGTCCTCTTGGGTCTCTAGCCGAACATTCTCTACGGTTCTCTGTAGCTGCTGGCCTGACTGTTGCCCATAAGCCTTCATCTCCTCCATGTCACCATCGGACCCTCACGCAAATTGCCGCTTGCTTCCAATACAGGTTCCACTGGAGGGCCCCGGTGTCACTCAACAGCCTCCTCAGCTTGTGTCCAATGCATGCCCTGCGACATATTTGTTGGGTAGTAGGTTTCTAAACCACATAGAAGAAGAACTGATCTTACATTAGTGTTGGAAATCCGAACTTCGTTTTTGTGTGTGCTGAATGCAGCAGATTTTCACACTGATTTCATATTAATGGAGGGCTGTCTTTGTTTTCCAGTTCTGCCATTGACACTTGTTCATCTGTGCTCTGCCTGCTTGCAGTTGCATATATAAGTGAAGGTGGTAACTGCCTTTAGACATCTCTCATAAAAGCTCAAGTAAGATCAGATGATGTGAAGGTTGATTCCCAAAATGGAGTAAATGAAGTTTTTCTAAAGTTAACTTCAAGAGAATTCGGCATATTGAAATCGGTAAGGGGTCTTCTTACGCCATTTTGATGTTCTGAGAAAGACGAAATATTGAAATGACTTTGGCATTACCTTCATACGCCACTAATCGATTGCATATATATGTGTACCATCGTTAGCTATATCTCAGTCTATATTCACTTCAGTTGGGAATAGTATAAAAAAACTTAACTAGGTGGTTATCACATAGTAATAAAGCATGCCTGAGATTCACTTACTGGCTGCGCAAGTGACATGCGTCTCACTGTTATGTTCGGTATAATATTGGTCCAAATAGACCTCTAAGTTCTACAGGAGGTGAATCGTGAGCCCTCATAGCTTAGTGGTAACGTCTGTGACTTTAGCAATGGGCGACACTGTTTTGAATCTCAGAAGGGAAATGAATTCCTTCAAGGTTGCGGATACGTCTTGCTAACTGGTGAGTGCCAACTACCACGAGAAATAGGTCAAGCAAGGCTTCCTACTGATTACCTTCAACCATCTAATACCAACAAAGCTGTGAGTAGCTTATTACAAGCATGAAACTGCCTAATGGGAATATGTTTTAAAAGTTCTATGTAATTAATGCCGAAATTCTTTCTATAACTTGCTACATTCTTTTCTACAGTAGAGCATAAAAGGTGTTGGGAGTGACCAATCAGCAACACTTATTGCGTAATGAAGTATTTATTACACAACTGTCTAATGTGAACCGATGTTATTTAGTTTCCACTTATTTAATGTATCCATACTGATCCAATCGAATCACTGTGCAGTCCCAAAATGAAATGATAACAAGGGCGTCTAAAGTTCTTTTGTTCTTAGTAGTTCTCAAATAAGCAGTGCTACATAAAAAATGAGTTGAATTCCAAGAAATCGAAAAACTTACTGTCCTCGGTTCATTGTATCGAATGCTGTTTAGTAAACAGTTTATTGTCCAATTTCATATTTTTCAAAAAGTTTCGAAATACTTCGTTTAGCTATGATGTTTATTCTTCTCTGTAATAGAGAATGTGAAATCAGGTCATATTTGTAAAATAGTTGGATGTGTGGTCAAGCTAAAAGCTGGAATCAGTCTATAAGATCTTTGACAACTGGCTTGAGCCAGTCATTTAACGAGGTGTAGACCGCCTCACTATTTGGGATGTTAAGAACTAGTGAGTGGAGGCTATTGGTGATATTGAAAGGGTAGAGGACGAAAGACTTGGTAAAGGAATGTTTATTTGGAAATTGGTATCTCTATGTCGGCGGATTATGTACACCTTATCTTCAGCGTGCACAATCCGATAGACCGAAATGAGAAACGTAATATTAAAATATATTACCAAACACAATGTAGTGAATGACTGTAAGTTCAATTTCATAGATCAGACTAGTGGATCGGGGTCATTTAGGTTATCAGAATATAGAGATTTAACTAGATATAAGATAATTGACCCTACTAAATTCAGCAATACAGAAAAAGACTGGATCATTGCGATGTGTCCACTCTCACATAATTACACATTGGATTGGGATAGGTTAAATTATTGAAATGTAATATAATTAAGTGGAGAGAGAGACAGAGAGGCTAGTCGTGGGATCTACACCTTACACGTGTAATGGGAATAATACGACGTCAATATCAGGAATATAAAGAATTTTAAAACCCATAAAATCAAAGGATAAGAAATAATTGAAATGTATCTAAACAAACTGCCATGATTATGAGCAGCAATAGACTGTGCATGAGAACGATATCAGTAAATAATACTCTCGGATTACAAGATTTATGGGAATTTTTGAACTGATTTCATCACGAACCAGCACAACAGTTAGATGAATTACTGAAAACCAGGAAGCGCTGGACAGTTGACTGTTTCATCCTATTCCGGGACTCTTCAGTCGTACGCACCCACCTCCACGGTTTGAACCCAGGACTCCCTGGTTACCAGACGGCTAGCGAGCTTGTAGACCATTAGACCACTGGGACCCGATCCGATAGCCAGCTGATGAGTTCTAACTTCTGCCAATTCATGGCATAGCGCGACCACTTTTCAATGTCTTCCTCGATGAGTTACTGACTCACCTTCAACCTGCTACACCTTAGTGGTCATGTTGAAATCCTCCAATCAATCAAACAGGAACCCCTAGAAAAACTAATGCTTGAAAAATACCATTATTCTATAATGGGATTATACTCTACCTGTTATGTACTCGTCGCTAAATTATTGTTATGGACTGGTCGAGAAACTAATAGTCCTGACGCGAGAAGGCAGAAATCAGAAGACCACTAGGTTT